TTCCAAAAACAAACAAACAATATCTAAAATGTGACATTCAGAACAAAGGTCACATTATAACCTTTAATTACAAAATAAAATAAAAAAATAAAAACTAAGTAATATAAAAAATTGTAATTATAAATTGTTTTGATTCCAATTTTACTAAGATACATTGATTATAGTTTAAATTTTGAATTAGCTCTGTAAAAAAAAAGGATAAAATAAGGGCATGACATCCACACTTTGACCTACCCATATAAGTAAACTTAGCATCAAAATGTAGTTTATAATTCAAATTATAATACTTAAATAAGTTCTCAATCTTCACTTTTATGTATCACATGACACCTCTTCTCCAAATTGCCCATTTCAGATTGTCTTTTTACCCTTACGTACTTTCTACATCCAACTACTTAGAAACACAGACAGGTCAGAAAATTAATTCAGAACCTTCAATCTTTTATGCTCATCTGATATAGTTAGGGTTGTGAAAATAACAGATAAAATATAGTTTTATTGAAAAAAAAGTTTTTTTTAATTTATTTAGGAGGTTTTAGAGATCACACAAATGAAATTTGATAATTTTCAGTTGAAGAAAAATATTTTTAACCTTAACATGAAAATCACTTTGCAGTCAGAACAGTCAACACTTTGACTCCATATATTCCCAGAAAATTTTTAGTGAAAATACATCATTAAAAATTCAAATTTTTTGTCTACAAAAGACTCCTAATGCTTACTGAAAGCTTGCAAAATTTTGTTAAGATGCATAAAACATATTAAAGTTATAGTATGGAAACTATAAAAGTCAATTTGGGGTCATGAACTCAGTTGATTTGACCAAACCCATAGTGGGTGTATTAAACCAAGAAAAAATTAAAACAAAATCCTAGTTTCTTAAATTCTGTAATCACTTTTATCCTTAGTTCAATAAAAAATGCTACTTTCTCTGAGTGCATCTAATACTGTTCTTATTACATTTATGAGCATCTTGGGAGTCATCCTTAACAGCCCAGGAAAAAAAATTCACTCCCAACTAATTTTTATCTCTAAAATCTTTGATCTCTATTATTATGAAACAGCACACATATTTAATATTTACCTGTGATACAGACTCTGAAGTACCATTGGACTCCACGTCAGTCACTGTCAAAAATGTTCCATCTTTAGATGCAAGCATTTCAGAATCCGTGGCTTCCTCCTTCCTTGTTGATTCCATATTTTGTATATGTTTAGTTGCATTATAATAAATATTCAAATTCTTTTTGGTTTTTAAACCTGAGTCTTCCTTTTCACTCAAGTCACAACTTTTCAACGAATCCTTATCATTACCTCTGTCATTTTTATTATTTTTTTTGAAAGCTTTATCATTCTCCTTGTCACTCATATTATTTTTCTGTTTGTTGCCTTTATTATTTTGCTGAATTGATGAACCTTTAAAATTTTTGCTTGATACTGGTCCTTTGTTGACCTCAGATCTATCAAGACTTCTGCTAGCTTGATCTTTATCATTTCCTTTTTTCAATGGTAGCTGCTGCTGCTTTGAAGCACCAAATGTTCTAAGGTGATATAAATCTTCTCTGTTGCTTTTCAAAGAACTTTGATTCCTTCCACTTTTTTGTTTTCTTCTGTCACCAACATGATGTGGTTTTTCAATTATTTTCTGATTTCTGTCCTTTTCCTGAATGTGCTGGGTTTTTTTTTGTCCTTTGTGTCAGATGTTTGACTTTGAAAGTTTCTTCTGGAACAGCTTTCTGATGATTTTACACTTGAAGAGTCATCATTTCCTCTAAAATTACCAGATGAATAAAAACTATTTTAAAAAATAAACTCATTTTTAAAAGCTCTGAAATACATAAATCACCATCTAACTATATATATTAATAATATTTTAATATTTAACATAATATAAAACTTACTTTATTTGTTTGTTTGTGTTTAAGCCCCATACCCATTAAAGGTATCAAACTCCAATCTTTAGCATTAAAGCCCTCAAGCTTACCATTGAGCTACCCTGTCAACTTATTTTGAATACTCAGGGTTCTCAATAGGTTTTCATAACTAGGGGTGAAATATCTTTGGATGTCAAAGTCTGACATTTGAGGGTGAACACTTAAATTATTAGACTGAAGAAACTTAGTAATGCTACCAACGACACCTTTAATAATTATGTCTTCCCTTCATATAATAATACACTTAATTTCAGACCTGTTCAATATGTATATACAAGTATATGTGTTAATGTTCGTGACTAAATAATGTGGGTTTGAAACTAATAACTCACTTGTTAGTAACACTAAGATTCACTCTAATGAATACTCACTTTTAAATTGGTAAACTTAATCAATTTTCCAATAATCAATTTCAATTTAGTATATTTTCCATGTACTTTTGAAAGTATGTCTTATTTCCAGTACAATGTGGTCAGTGACGAGAGCATTATGCAAAAAGGTGTAGAGATATTTTGCTTTAAAAATGATTAAAAAAAAAGAAGAAAGAAATAAATAAAACTATACTTTAAGTGTTTAAGTAAAATAAAGGTGACACCTGTAGACTGATTGAAAAAGAGATGTTAAGCTAATCAATTTATACAAACAAGTATGGAAAATTTGTTTATTTGAAATGCAAGTTTTACCAGACTTTGCAAGTTTTGAGGTGTCCTATAATTCCCATGATAAAGTTTAGAAGAATCTACAAATTCAATCAGGTATACACAGAAAAAGAAAACACCAGATGTTAAACAATTCCAATAGAATAAGCTGCCCAATCAAACAAATGTTAAAGGAAGAAACACTGCCATAGATAGTACTTTAGAACATCTCTCTAAATAATAAATATGGCCATAAATATCTCAGGGAATTGAAAAATAAGGTTTTTTACCATAAATTGATTGATCTCAGAATGTTACCAGAAAAAGAATATAATGAAGGTGCAAAATGCTAAAATCTGTACAGTTGAAATAATCAAAAATGTTAAAATTATAAACTAATCTTCCAAAACAAGACTAAAGCTGATTTTGTTTGTTTTTGAATCTCTCACAAAGCTACACAACTTTGAAATGATATACTAGTCAACATTATCCAATGCAATCTCTCGAGCTCCTAGTTGCCAACATTTTTATTCATTTGTTATTGGTGGTGGTGGTGATGATAACGAGGTGGACACCATGAAGCCTCAGCTCTATAGTCCTGTTAACTAACTACTGTGCCACTCTTGCCTATTAAATATATTGTGAAGTTTGTCTACAAACCAAGTAAGAAATGCGGTTCAGTTGACAAAAAAAAGGTAGAAATTTGATTTTTTTTTCTTATTTTACTTGCTTATAATTGTACAATTGATCAATATATATTTCAAAACATTTTGTGATTTAGGGTAACTATATCTTTTGAGAATATTAATTCAGGTTACTAGCTTTCATATTTGTAGGAATTTTCCAGTAAATTCTACACTTTTCATTCTGAAAAGATTAATAAGTTATAAAATATAACAGTCATGCTTAAAATTCAAAATGTATCTCTACTTCACAGCATTTATTTTCTTTATTTAATAATAAGCATAATTCTTACAAACCAAACCCCTTAGGTGAACTTACTCAACATTTCTGCAATCAAGTCTATGAAGAGGCCAGTCCACAATTTGGCAATTTTTTGAGCAGTACCAGGTCTTACAACGAGAGCAGCGAAATTCACCTAAAATAAACTATTATACCTTAGATATGCAATTTTTTTTTCAAGCTTATTACAAATAAACTCAAAAACTGAAGAACATTATATCTAGGATCACCAACATGTTAACTTTATTGAAAATGATAACAGTTTATGCAGTATTTTGCCACAGCCTCATTCTTCATAAAAATGTTTGTTCACATACTCATAAGTAATTATGCTAATGAAACGTTAGTTTTTGGAATATGTACGAGTTTTCTCCCTATATGTATATAAAACAGTTCTTTCAGATAAAACAAAAATTAAAAGGTACCTTTGTATTGTAATTTTATACCAGTCTTATACTTGCACAACAAGGTAGGTGCCTCAAAATATAATTACGGGCTATACAATCAAAATGCATTCTTAAGAGATTAATTCTATAAAAATAAAGAGGGAGGAAGAAATACCTGAAAAACTAGTACATTTTCTAACCATGTCAGAAAAAATTGATTTCTTGAATAAAACCAAAACAATCAAAAATAGATAAATATATTAGTATTTCACCATTTTAAACTCCTCACCTGACAGCCCACATGCTATACATGCATTAATACTATTGTACGGTTCTCCAAATGTTCCATCATCTGTTGATGCAATCTTCTTGTATACTTTCATAATACCAGGATCCATTTTTTCTAAATAGGTTTCTGGACCTTTATAACAATCTGCTGTGCTTAAGCTTGCATGATCATAATCTATTACAGGAATCTGTTTCATCCTTGAATGAAAATAACCCTCTCCTAATCCTTGGGTTTCCTGAACTCTGTATACCCGCCCTCTCCCAGCATTGTTGTGATAATAGTCTCCAGTCACTGGTATCAACCTTTGAAGTGGATAAGCTCCTTGTCCTCTCCCATTAATACCTTGTTTTTGAAGGTACGTACCGGAAATGCTTCTGTCCAAGTTTTGATTAAATGTGTGAGTAGATGAAACATTCATTAATGGGTAAGGAATTCCATTTTCACAATTCACTACTCTACCTCCCATCTCAGACGTTATATGAAGATTCTTTACTGGCAACTGCAATAAATAATACAGAACTACTGTCAATAGTACCTAAGCTTAATGACAAAATAACAAATATAAAAGTATGTAGGTATCCTGAGCTCTTACATCTTCAATGGTTAGTAACAAACTCTTATGGTAGTTTACTGTTTCTTTAGTATAGTCAATATTTTAACCTTTTGGAAACTTGTATCTTTAAAACACTTTATTTGCTGATATTCATGGGATTTCACACACTTTGCCAAAATACAGGGGTCAAGTTTCTTTAATTTTGAAAATGCTATATTCCCCAAGAATACAGTATCACACTGTTTTAGATCAACACTCTGAGGTTGTAAAAAACTAACTTAAACATATTTTATAAAAATAAATAATTCATGTTATTTTAACAAGACAATGTCTGGCAACCAAAAATAAATGTATAGTATAAATAATCATTTCAAGTAGAACACTGTAATAAACATGCATTGAAGCCCAAATGTTCCATGAAATATGTATTTGAAATTAGGGAGAAATAATAAAGGTCTCAAAGTTACATTAATTCCTAACATCAATAGCTAAGAAAGGCAGTAGAGACAAGACATAATTCTGCTTTACTGTTATGCAACACAGCATGTCTAACAACATATTATAGTCATGTGTTTTTCAATGCCTTTATAGTTTCAATATTACCTCAACAATGCCAAAGATAATTTGACTATTTATTTCCTTACATTCTTACTTAAAAGATTAGAATGAATTTTTTCATCAGTTGGATTCCCTTCCTGTTAATGTTTCTTTCGTTCACAAACTCAATAACATTTTACAAGGTCCAGACATATTAGAAGATTTAAGTTAGGCCTAAATCCATATAGTGAGCTAACAGTTCAAAACAATCTCTATAATAAAGGTATAACAACACAACTGGATATATTAAACACTAACCAATACTGTTAATGAAAGTAATACTAAAGAAAAAATAAAGTATACCTTACTTATGGAACATAAACACTAGTTGTTAGCTTGAAAGACTTGATATTTGAAATAAATACATACTATCAGAATCACGTTAAATTTTAATTCTAATTATATGTTATTTTCTTAGTACTAAGCTATACTTTATCCCCCATGGGGAACAGAACCCCAGATTTTAGCATTGTAAGTCCATAAACTTACCACTGGCCCACCAGAGGATTTTTATTAAATAATTTCAATCATTATAAAAAACAGAATTATAAAACACAAACGATAACATCTGCAAACATTATAATAATAAACACATGAATCAGCATTTTGAGCAAACCAAAACGTACCAGTATTTTATAATAAACTTTCTGTAAAACCAAAAATAATGTGTATTATCAGTCCCTGGGAATGGAGGACTTTTATAGACTTATTTTTAAAAATCTAATATTTTTTGAAATACAAAATGATGGAAAAATTAAATTGGCTTACTTAAAAGAAAATTTAATTGAAGTTTCTTTGTTTATTTCTAAATAAATAATTTTCTCTAAAGCATTACATTCAAAACTTTTAAATCCAATTAAGAGCTCTTTTGTTTTAATGAAAACCACATGTCTTCATAATGTTTACATACCTGTTATAACAATATGTATGGAAAATGGATTGGTATTTGTGCTGTTATTTAATAGGCATCATACTGTATTTACTAAATAAATGCATTTAAACAATCAGCACAATTTACATATTCCTTAAATAAACAAGACACTTAGATGCAACCAAAAGATTCAAAGAAATTCCTGATGAAGCTAGTTCTAATTTAAAATTTCCAACTGAGTTCGAGTGGATTTGATCCAGACAGTAAAAAAGGTTAAATTTTCTGAAGGTATGGTTGAAAATGTTTAAGTTGTTACAATACAATAATAGACAAGGGTTGATGTACTGCAACCTATGTATAAAAACAAGAATGGTTTTACAAGATCAAGACATTTTAAAAATCTGCACTGCTAAGTAATAAAAAAGCCAACATCAAACACATCTTGCAATGCAATAATATGTTAAAGCTAAAATAAAATTGTTTTATAAATATTATATGAATACATTGAGATATTTTGATCGGTTATGGTAAAGTCACTAATTTTAAGTGTTCTGCAAAAAAAATGTAATCATGGTTCCCACAACTTGGGCAGAATTAAATTTTCTTGACCAGAAGATGTTATTCCCTAACAATTTCATCTATACTTGAAATGTATCATTGGACTATAATATGTGAAGCTGCAAAATATTTTTCATATATTGTTTAGTGAAGACAAGAAAAGTTATATGTTGAGTCACAAACTACTTAACTGTCATCTTGCTAAGTTTCAATATGACTGGTCAAGCCATTCTTAAATCATTAACACCTTATCAGAATATACACAACAGTTTATCCATTAGTTATAATGATGCATACTGATCTCTCTCTCTCTCTCTCTCTCTAGGTACCATGCCCATTCAATGATGCAGAGCACATTGCATTATTTTTGCATGTGCTTTGAAACTAAGTGTATCAAGCTCATCTATATCAAATTAATTGAAATCTTTAGATTAGCATGACTACATACTTATCAATCAAGTACATTACCAAAATATTTTCATGATTACTTGAGTTTTGGTCATTCATAAAATTGCCATTGTTTGTAATTACAAATAATCAAGTTGTAAATTATAATTATACAAACAGGATACTTCATACAGAACCAGAACTGCTGATAAAACATCCATACTATTATAGTTGCATTATAATTAATTCTACATCATGATGTACAGACACAAATGTTATTGTTAACAATTCTGTTCATCACTGACAGATATATTGCATTACAGTATTACACCATATAGTGTCAAGTTTTCATTTTTCTCTTATATAATGCATCTTATTATAAATATAAACTGATACTTTTACTAAAAGTACTCACATTACTATTATTCTAGACTTGGACACAACAAAAAATGCAATAACACTGCCTATACTTGACCACATTAACACTATACATTCTGCATAATAATGTTACGTCTCTGCTCGTTTGATAATTTCCGGTAGAAATTCTTCCCGAGAAACTTCAGCGATACAAGTCCTTTCTGAAATAAAACTAGTTTATTCTTTCTCAATACAACTTTGCAATACACTTAATTTCCACAGTCACTTAAACACACGCTATAATTCTCAACGAACAATTCATGCACTTTACTTACTACTGCGCTTGACTCAATTGTCCGTCTACATCTTCAATCTCTCTGTCCGCTATTCAATTCTGATTGATTGTCTCGCTTTATCTGATGCACTTATATACAAGAATAGAGGGTGCCTAGCAAATAATGGATTATTCGTGATGTTCCCCGATTGTTCTAGAATCTCATGACGTGTTACTAGCGTCACATGACTTCCGCTGTCGTAACAATAATTTAAGTCTATCTCAACAGCATATCGTGTTATGAAAGCTCACACAATACTAAGGCTATTAATCCAATTCTGTCAAGCTGCACATGCTCACCTTAACCTTCATCGTTTCCTGTCCCCAGCACTCTGTTTGTTGCTTGACAAACAGTAAACGTTTCTAATACATTAATCAGGTACTCAATGCAGCAAATTATAGATTATTAGGTAAACATGACATTTATTTATTCAATGGCATAAGCTCAGCTGCTTCTACAAAAATGTATGTATGCTTCTATTTGTACTATTACTTAGTATGCATCATTACATGTTCTGCAGAAAATGTAATCATGGTTCCCACAACTTGAGCAGAATGAAATTTTCTTAATTTTCCGTGACAGTATTACACCATAAACAACTCTATATATTCCATATTATTAGTTATTGTCCATGAAACATTTTATACTTAACTACCTGTATAATTAAATTTTTTTATCTCCAAATATTATACAATGTTATCCATTTTGATTTAAGTAGGATTTTCTTAACTGTTATTAGTGATATTCTATCTGTCTCTTGGAAATATTGCCTGTCAACAACCACTGTCATATGCTACAGGCATGAGTCTGGGTTGAAAAAAGCTCTCTGAACAATATGACCTGGGACTAATCCCCTTGGATTTCTTCAAAGTTCCGTGACGCTATCTCTTTGTATTTTCAAGCCTAACTGGGAGTTCATTTATGAGTATGGAAGTTGAAATAAAACACATTCAAATCAATAATTATATTAATTCACTTCATCTTAATGTTATATATTAACTATTCACGTAAAATAAAAACTCACATATTGTACTAATACTTGTGTAAAATAATGCCTTACATACAAGCATTCTTACATGTTCCTGTTCTACAATATCAAAGTAGCACATCTGCTTCACTGTTCTATACTGGACAAACACAGACTCAGTGATGCTTACATGCACAAGTGTTCAGAGGATTCTAGGTCCATGTATTTATACATGTACATTTATATTTACAGATACTGTCACAAGTGATAGATTTAATTTTCTTTCTTTTGCTGGTTTGTTGGTTGATACTTCCTCTGCATTCCTTTTATGTGCAAACTTACCTTTCTTACTTGCCTCAGATACTGCCAGTTTAGTTTTTCCTTTAGCCAATTTCACTTTTTCTAGGTTTAGTTCTAACTCCTCCTTCTCTAAGCCAGTTTTTACCTATGATTTTGTTTTATTTGTTTCATATCTCATTTTTGAGAGCTGTACATTTGAGATTATCTTCTTTCAAAGGGAATAAGTCTGGAGAGTACTGCATATATCTTCTCTGATATTGACGGTTTGTAGAGAAACTACTTTCCACTTCGATTCCATGAAAACATGGGAGTAAAGCAAAAGCAACCTTGCCAATACACGAGTACTTATCTTTCACACGATCACACCAGTGATCCACATGTGTCTCCTTGCCATCATCTCCTTCTAAAAGGTGAATTGTCTGCACACTTGAACTTATGAACTTCTTAGTTCTGTAAGTATATCTACTAGGCTTGGCAAATTTTTCAAGTCTTGAGTATAGTAGTATGATATTTTTTATTGGAATTAAGGCAGGCACATTTTAAGCCTTCAATTGCTAATGGGAGTTTCATTTACAGATAAACACCACAGCTTATACATGCCTTCTTCACTTTAATGTAAAAGTCTCTTACTGTGGAGTCATGTTTACTTATTTTGGCTACCTTCAGTCATTACAAAATGTCCCCATTGGTTTGTGCAGATGAACTATTGGAATGAAAAAAATGAAGTAAAACAAAAGGGTGAGAGGAGGATGTGAATGATAAAACTTAAGGAGGTTATAGTTATGGGTGATTCCTTGACAAAACATGTGAATAAGATAGTGTGTGGGGTAAATAGGGAGAAAAGAATTAGATTTTGCTACCCAGGAGCACAGGTGGAAGATATAACTGACAATGCACGAGATATAATTAAGGGGGCTAGCAATGATGCAGTTTTATTGTGCACATAGAGGCTAATGATGTAGGGAAAGGTAGGTCAGAGGAGCTAATTAATAAATACAAAGGGTTGATAAAGGCATTTAAAGAAATGGTCTATAACTTAATTGTGTCAGGGATACTGCCAAGAATTAATTGTGAGGATGAAGTTAAGAGTCAGTTACTAGGACTAAATGCTAGGCTTAGGTTAGTATGCAAGGATTAGCAGATTGGCTGGTTGGACTTGTGGGATCAGTTCAATGGCAGAAGGGAGCTTTTTGGAATGGATAGTTTACATTTAAACAAGATAGGTACTGGCTTGTTTGCTACAGCTATTAACTCAGCCATAATGGAAGTTTTAAACTAGGACTAGATAGTGGTGAGGGCCAAGATAAACTAAATGCAAAAAGAATAAGAGGAAAAGAAAAGTTTAGCATAGGAAATGAGTATAGAAGTATTTATAAGGGTAAGCTTAATAGCAATGTTAGAAGTATAAAAAATAAAATAGGAATGGATGATTTTGATATGATGGAAGTAACTGAAACATGTTTAAATGTACATGACTTTGATGCCAAATTTCTTTGAAATACAGGGTTACAGGTTATCTAACACAGAGAGGGTACTAATGAGAAAGGGAGAAGTGGCTTTATAGGTAAAATGTAAATTACATGTTGTTGAAGTTCAAAATATCAAATATAATAGCAAGGAGATTGAATGCATTTGGGTTTCTATTAGTGAAAAGAAAGGGAAAAAGCTTTTATTGGGAAGTTGTTACAGACCACCAGATGATACTGATGAAATTAGTAAGAAACTTTACAGTAAGATT